GGATGGATGGATGGATGGAGGGATGGATGGATGGATGGACGGATCGATGGATGAATGGATAGATGGATGGAGGGATGGATGGATGGATGGATGGATAGATGGATGGATGGATGGATGGATGGACGGATCGATGGATGAATGGATAGATGGATGGAGGGATGGATGGAGGGATGGTAAGAGGGAGGGAGGGGCGGACGGACGGACGGACAGACGGCACAGTCAATATAAACACACGCTCCATGACTGGACAGGGTTGGTTTTTCTTACCTTCAGCGCGTAGACGATATCCACGATAGCGACCTGCTCCTCTGTGGCACGTGTCACAACCGGTCCAACCGGTTTACTGGACGACTGTCGGCTGCGCTTGCCTCGTTGATGCCAAACATCAGCCAGAGAAGCCAGGAATATGATGGTATGATTCATAGCGATGGGGGTGAGAAGCTGTAGGACTTGTAGACGAACAGACTAAAGAATAACAATTTTAGTGTTAACAACAGGCCATGTTGAAATAGACCCCTTGTATGTGACGTCAAAGAAGCTCAATTTGGAGGACAAAACAAAAGAATTTCAATCTCATGAGAATTGAAAACCTATTGTTTTGCCCTCGAAATTGAGCTGCATTCCGACATGCGTTCATTAAAACCAGCGGTATGCAGCTGAGATAGAGGAGTATGCGCAAAAGCCGCTCTGTAAAATTCTGGCGTCGAAATACAAACCTTTGGCGAACCAATCAGATATAAGTATGACTCAGTTGGTAGTCGCTGATTGGTGGAATCGTGAGCCTCGGAATCCCAAGTACTCCATACAGATACCAAAGCTGTTAATACCGAGGGAAGGATACTCAACAGTCCTTCACGTGCCTCGAGATACGGTTTTGGACCCTCGGTATTTGGTACCTGATTAACCGTCGAGGACTGAGCCGAGAATGCGTGAAGAAGATTCGCAAAGATCTGACCACTGTTCGATGAATGGCTGGCTTCGGATGTAACGTTTGAGCCCGTAGTGGCGGGAAAAGGTGCGGTGCGCGGTTTCAGGGAGAGACCTGGTGATGTTGGCATGGTGTCGACCAAACAGAAGTGGCAGATGGTACTAAGATGTTCGAGCAGGGAAAGAACGTAGTCTGGTGGGAGAGAAGCTTCAGAAGATCTGAAAAATAAAGCAGTTTGGGTCTTCTATACCTTTGCTTTCTTTGTAACTTTTTATAGTCCATGGACCAAGACCCCCCAAGATGGGGTGTTTATGGTACGACTCATAGGCCCCTTCCACACGTATCCGGAAATTTTTGTATCCGCAAATTTGTTTTTGCGGATACGAAAATGTTCGCGTCCACACGCAGCGTATTCGAATCGTTTTCGAATCGTTTTCGCTGTCCACACGTATCCGGAAATTTCATGATCCGCCCTGATGCACGCTAGTGCCTAGTCCCTTTGACGGATAGTTTTTGTTATTGAGCATGCGCAAAATCGTGTTTACGTCAGCGTACTCGAAAATTTGCGGATACGACCGTCCACACGTATCCGTATTCGGAACGTATTCGAAAATTTCCACTCTAGAGACCGTTTTCGAAAATTTCCGGATACGGATACAAAAATGTCCGGACACGTGAGGACGGGGCCATAGAGACAAAGGTTATCATAACTTTTTGGAATCCATTAACCCTATACTCTTCAATGAGATGTGATAGCCATGCTGAACAGTAAGCTTTTAATTCTATTTTCTGTGCTTTAATTTGTGTTTTAATTCCCTTATTTTTGTCTAGTTTTTGTCCTATAATCTATACTTTCCCTTACATTTGATAACTAATATCTTAAAGACCTTCATTATCACACTACCTGACCTATAGCTGACTATTTAACTCCTCAATACCTCAGGATCCGCTTTTGTCGTGCACAAATAAGAGTGCACGCCATATACCGTGAAACAACTATTAGCCATGTATCACTTAAATACTTTAGTTATCAACTATTTAGGTGTAAAATACACTAGGAATTCACTCAGGCATAAATCAAACAAAGACTCGTAAAGGTATTTGCTTTTGTTCCAAATTCCTGCACTAGTAATGTATCTATTATTTTTTTATCAAATAGCAGCAAAATAGCTGCAATTAGACGATACGTCCTTGGTTTTGTTTCATGGATATATGGCGTGCCTCTAAACTGACTTACTTGTCATTTGATAAAGTATCATCCGTCTTGTTCACGTTCAAAGGGACGTAAAGATTAGTCTGCTTCTGCAACATTCGTCCAACCTGTTCCACAACGACCACGACCCACGACCCAAGAGCGTTCCTCATATGCGGTAAACACGCGATAACAAACCGAAGCCACTCGTGATGTAAATCATAATCATCGTTTTGAAGACCGTGCAAGACAGCGGTCAAGAGCATGTTCTGAAATGCAAGACTTTTGCCTGGGATGTAACGAAATACTGCACCTTGTAGTAGTGGCTCGTTCTCTGTCTTAGACGGGGACTGAGGACTCAAACCAGCCTGTAATAAGTCAACTACTCCAGTATCGGAACAATCAATATTGTCTTCTAATACAAATATCGCTTGCAAAAGATGAAGAAGCTTCACTTGGAAAGCTCGTAACTGGCACTGCTTGGCTTGCTTAGAAATACGTGACGGTAACCCCTCGCTGTTCGCACGGACGGATGGCGTCCTTAGCCCGGTTCGTTCGTAGAGAGTAGATAGAAGACAATGAAGAAGAGCCTTTTGGACTTTGCAGCGGGTGAAGAGGTCGTTGATGAAAGCACCCATTCCGAGTGCATTTTCGCGAACCACTTCAACTAGTTGCCATATGATTGATGTCAATACATCTGCGCTCGTCATCTGAACCTGAAATCAGTACAAATGATACATTCGCTTTAATCCCAACAGTTTCTTTGGTCTCTCTCTTGATTCAAGGATTTATATCCGGGTTCTCTGGCTTTTCGCCCTCCGTCAAACCTGACCGGATAAACTCCTATCTCATAATATCAGGTACAATAACTCATATTGAGACTACAAATATTGACCAAGGGAAGAGACTGACGCAGTCCAAAACTGAGTTTAACAGAATGATCCATCAACGGTTCATCCTGGCCCTTATAGTTGACAAAGTCAACATTAAAAACTGCGCACGGCCAAAAATGGATTATGCCAGAGCAGTGCCAGAGCCCTCGCTTTTCGCCGCAGGTTAGAAGAAACGGAGGCTCTGGATACGAGATTGCCGGAAAACCCAATGGCATGGGTGCTGTTATGAGCAACCATTAAACAAAGAAATGATACTCTAGGGGATTTTGGCCCCTTTTGTTTTTGGCGTAATGTTTTCCCATTACAGACCAGATGTCGTTCCCTAGAGTATTATTATACTAATGACACATGGTCCGAAATGGGAAAACATTAGGCCCAAGGTAAATGGGTCTATTGTTTGAATAATAAAAGCTCTTTCTGTACCTGGGTATTACCATCGACGTCTACATCATCCAGTTTAAGGGTCGCAGGATATTCACTTCGAATGAAGTAAAGCGCGACTGAGATGAGGATTTCCAGGTATTTGCTGGTGTTTGGTCTGAGGTAGAGTGTTCCAGCAAACAGACGTGAAGCTTGTTGCTTTCCTGGGACAAATAAAACAGTGGAGAATAGGATTATGAAGAAATGAGCAGGTAGATATGATAACAATTCTAAAGAATTCAAAAGGCGAATGGATGTATAAAAAAAAGGAATAAAGCAGTGAAAGATGAAAAATACATAGTAAAAGAAGAAAGAAATACTGAATGAATGAACAAATGAAAGAGATGGAGGGAGGGAGGGAGGGAGGGATGGAGGGAGGGATGGAGGGATGGATGGACAACGGACGGATGTATGGCATGGGATGAGATGGGATGGGATGGGATGGAATAGGATGGGGTGGAATGGAATGAGGTTGGATGGGATGAAATGGGATGGGTTGGGATGAAATGGAATGATTGATGGAATTAGATGAGACGAGATGTAATGTACGTATACTACCTCAATACTCACCAGTAGACGATACAGGTGTATCATACAACGGTCCATAAAACCCTTTCCCTAGCAACGACCTCCGATGTCTCGCCAGTAACTCTTTAATCTTATCCTGATGCGGGGTATTAGAAGCACTGACACTACAAGATGCTGCAGCACAAACAAACTGATGCGGAGCGCTCCGTATTATGGACAACAACGTATTAAACGCGTAAAGCGTGAGCCTGCTGTCATAGATCAATCTGTACAGCAGTTTGTGTTGATCTAGTGGATGGATCATGGGCTTGACCTGACTTGATTGCAGCTTGTGACGAGTATTCTTTTCGCTGTTTTGCCTAGAGGGTCCTTTGGATCCTTTTCCTTCAAAGTAAAAAAAAAATTGTGTCACGTGATGGCCGCCATGTTGAAGGGCAAATAAAGGACTTTTAAGTTTTATTTTTCCATCGTAAAACTTTTCCGAAATTGACCTATTTCTTAATGACGTCACATCAAAACAATCTATTGTTTAAACGCAAAGGATCATGGTCGTTGGAGGGGGTCAAATCAATCAATCCACGAAGAGAAGTAGAATAGCCAGCAAACGCTCAGAATATTTTTTAGTACATATTAACACATATTATCTGAAAACCAGGCCATTTTAGATTAAACTGTTTCGCTAGGAGCAAATTTTGTTGAATTTTCTATTGGATTTGGCGATTCTATCCCCCACATAAACAAGCAGTGGCGTCCTAGTGAAATAGGGCAATTGGAAATGAGGGAATGACTCCGTAATCAAGGAACACAGTGGTATTTTGTGTATTTGAAAAAAAAATATTTTCTCACTTACTCAAGACTGATCGTTTCCTGTTGCTTCTGATCTCTTCCTCCTCGTTCTCACTATCTGATGTTCGTTCAATCTCACTCCCACTAATACCCAGGCTTCGAGAGTCATCTATTGGGGAGTAGCTCCTGTCGACTTCAAATTTTCTTAACGAATCGTCTGTAAAGAACAAGATAAACGAGATAGGACGAGGATGAGGACGAGGACAAGGAAAACAAGGACAAAGGACAAGGAAGAGGAAGAGGGAGGAAGAGGAAGAGCAAGAGGAAGAGCAAGAGCAAGAGCAAGAGCAAGAGCAAGAG